AACTCTGTGGTTCCTTCATTAAGTTAGATATCAAAGTTTTTTAACTCTGTGGTTCCTTCATTAAGTTAGATATCAAAGTTTTTAACTCTGTAGTTCCTTCATTAAGTTAGATATCAAAGTTTTTAACTCTGTAGTTCCTTCATTAAGTTAGATATCAAAGATTTTAACTCTGTGATTAAATTAGATGTTTAGTTAGTTAAATTCAAGGTATATAGGGTCGATACTTTCGAACTCCGGACACAATTGGCACGACCAGTTGAAAATGGTGACCCATTGTTGCCCTCTCATTGAACTAGGACCCCTAATAATGAATTAAAATGGAGAACTTTCTACATGTACAGTTTGGAGGTCACTGGAGGATAAAATGACTACTTTCAGTATTAATGTCAGCGAAGGAGGAAACGACTACTTCCAGTATTAATGTCAGCGAAGGAGGAAATGACTACTTCCAGTATTAATGTCAGCGAAGGAGGAAATGACTACTTCCAATATTAATGTCAGCAAAGGAGGAAATGACTACTTCCAGTATTAATATCAGCGAAAAAGGAAATGACTACTTCCAATATTAATATTAGCGAAGGAGGAAATGACTACTTCCAATATTAATGTCAGCGAAGGAGGAAATGACTACTTCCAATATTAATGTCAGCGAAGGAGGAAATGATTACTTCCAGTATTAATATCAGCGAAGAAGGAAATGACTACTTTCGTTTAACGATTATCAATATCATCGAATGTCAGCGAAGGAGGAAATGACTACTTCCAGTATTAATGTCAGCGAAGGAGGAAATGACTACTTCCAGTATTAATGTCAGCAAAGGAGGAAATGACTACTTCCAATATTAATGTCAGCGAAGGAGGAAATGACTACTTCCAGTATTAATGTCAGCGAAGGAGGAAATGACTACTTCCAGTATTAATATCAGCGAAGGAGGAAATGACTACTTCCAGTATTAATATCAACGAAGAAGGAAATGACTACTTTCGTTTAACGATTATCGATATCATCGAATATCAGCGAGGGAGGAAATGACTACTTCCAGTATTAATGTCAGCGAAGGAGGAAATGACTACTTCCAGTATTAATGTCAGCGAAGGAGGAAATGACTACTTCCAGTATTAATGTCAGCGAAGGAGGAAATGACTACTCCCAGTATTAATATCAGCAAAGGAGGAAATGACTACTTCCAGTATTAATATCAGCGAAGAAGGAAATGACTACTTTCGTTTAACGATTATCAATATCATCGAATGTCAGCGAAGAAGGAAATGGCTACTTTTAGTTTTAACATCACTTGTTATCATAACTGAAGTCGACTCGTTCAGTTCAAAGCCTCTCTTACTGCTACCAAGTCAGACGAGTCCTTGTACACAAATAGGCAAACATATAGAGGGTATTAAGGCTAACAAGCAAAGGTCAATTTTGTCTTTTATAATGATGTCATACAAGGTTGATGTTCCCAATAATTACCTGTTTCAACAAAAATTATTATTATGTCCTATTTCTGTATAAATTCTCTTAGGCTTAATTACCTTCCGATTCGTCCCTGAACACAAACTCCTCCGGCTTAGTGTCTGTTGTCATAGAAACGGATGAGAGATGGGGAGTGGAGTGGCTCTTAGAGACGAGCTGCTTCAAAGCTAGCTCGTTTTCTGAAAATTAACATGCAAGAAATTATTCGAAATTAAATATTTCAAATTCTCAGCATACTTTATAAAACTACGAGAGTTCTCGGAAAGTTAATAGTTTTGAATATTAGTTTTTATTGTTTTCATCTATAAAAAAAAACGATACATTAGAACACCAGTAGTTGTTTTTTTTGTGTGTGTGTGTGTGTGAATATCAAAGTTTGAAGTATAAATTTGACCCTGTTGAAAGCAACATAACGTTCTTAAAAATGAGTTGAACATGACGTCAGAATCCCGCTCAACAATCTTATAAAGTTATTGGAAATGAACTGATCAACGTGGCATCAAACACTGCTCAAAGTAACAAGATCTTGTTGGAATCGGGATAACAAAATACGTGAAGTATGGTAAACTGTCTCTTCTCGAACAGAATAGTCTTAAGCTATTATATTACTCAACAAATCCTATCAAAGACGATAGATACATCTTTAGAATAAACAACATCTACAGTCGTTAATTCACGTCTCAAATAAAAAATAAAAATAAAGGGATACTCTGCTCTCTAAGATAGTAAGATAGACAGACAACGGAGACATAACTACGTCACGCTACTAATATTAATAAGATAGACAGACAACGGAGACATAACTACGTCACGCTACTAATATTAATAAGATAGACAGACAACGGAGACATAGCTACGTCTCGCTACTAATATTAATAAGATAGACAGACAACGGAGACATAGCTACGTCTCGCTACTAATATTAATAAGATAGACAGACAACGGAGACATAGCTACGTCACG